GTCGCACGATCACTTCGTCGCAATCATTTCGTCGCACGATCACTTCGTCGCAAAAAAATTCTTTCGTTCTGTTAGTCGCAGAAAAATTTCTTTCGCTGTGCTCGTCACTATCTATTCGTCGCATCTCTCTTAATTAATTTTCTTTTCAAAGATGTGAAATTGATTAATTAATTCACCTTTATTTTGTGTATTATACATAACATAATGATGAACAAATTGAGAACAAAAAAAAGAAAAAGAAAAAGAAAAAAACAAAAAAAAAACAAAAGAAAAAAAGTAACCTAAAGAAAACAAAATAATTTTAAGAAAAAAATGACCTAAAGATTAATGTTGGCTGCCCTATTTGTTAAGAATTGATCCAGTTGAGATGAGTCAAATGCATTGACCAGCCGAGTAATTCGTTCGTCCAATCGTCGATAGCAGGCCTTCTTCATCTTAATATCATGACCTTGGAGAATCTTCGCCATGTCCACTTCGAATTTCGATTGTTCACGACGAATTTTCTCTGCCAATTTCACGATATTTGGATGATTGATTGCGATGCGGTTCGCAAATGCATTGTGCCAGCCTTCCACCGAATTGTTCGAACGAGGTACAGCAGCGACGACACGATCATGCATATTCCATAATTTGTGATCAAATTGAGGCTTCTTTCGACCAGCTCCTAAGAAAGTCGATTATATTTCGCATTTCTAAAGAATGAAGAAAAAAAATTACCTCTTCTTTTTGGTTCACCAATCCATGTTTTTTCAAAATAATCAAGTAAATCATCGGCGTCATCGTCGAATTGATTGACAATTAAGTCAAAGCCGGTTGTAATTTCATCTACTGGAACAAAGGCAAGAGCAATCAATTTTCTTACATTTAAACGAAAGTACTCATCTTCTTTATATTTTGTTACCAATCCTTTTCCTTGAACTTGCCGCCATATCGCTTGTGAAAAATGAAAGAAACATCCTATAACAAACATTTTGATTACTTGTTTTTTGACAATATTACAAAATACCTTTGTGTAAAACGTTTGGCAACATTTCTCTAACGGATTTGATTGTACCAGTTTCGAAATCAGTCATAATTGATTCAGGTTGAAAATTGTCTTATACTAATACTTTTTCGAAGAATGAATTGTAATCTTGAGCACTTTTACCAATTAATAATCCATAGACGAGAGGGATAATTGCATTAGTCATCATCGCGTGTAACGTGAATAATTGATAATAATCATCAGGACACACCTACGTCAAAGAAAATTAGAAAAAAAAAGATATAAACTTTTAATTGATAGCTTACTTTGAATGTTCCATCAGCGAACCAATGTTTATTTTGCTTCAGAATCGATAAATTTGTTTTTGTTGTAAAGATAATTAAATTTTTGTCTTCGTGCAAGATGAAGTCTTCATCGCGATACGTCTTTCTTAATTTTTCCAGTAAACAACCATCGACATCGATTGTTTCAACAGTACGCTGTCGTCGAATCATTAGCATAAGTGCTTCATTTTTTGGAAGTTCACCAGCAGCACTCAACGGATACGTACGCAAAGCAGAATGAATAATGGAACTGGTTGATTCATCTGTTGTTACGGCACGAGCTTTAATTTCATTTTTTAATTGAATAGCAGGCACACGATCAGGTTGAGGAGCATGACAGTGAGCTGTTGGTTGTGAGAGAAATACGTCCATAGATAAATTGGTATGACATCGAGCTTAATAGATCAATAATTTTTGTTTTAATTGACTGATAGTAAATGTTAACTTACCTTTACAATCTCGATTCTGGCAACGAAAGATCAATTTCGTCGATGTTGTACGTTCTGCAGTGTAGATGTAACCTTCGTGATGAATCATTGGTTTTCCTTTTACAGAAAGAAGTTTTTCGATTTGAGACATTTTGATTAAAGAGTAGTTCGCAGTGAGAGTTGATATTGAGAAATGAAATGTATTTTTTTTCTGGCTTCATATTTAAGAATATTATTTTATTATTTATCTTTAGCCTGGATTATGTTAAAATTGATTAACCGAGTAACAAATCTAATTATTCATCGTTCACTTTAGACCCGTTGCGATTATATATGAATATTCGTATTGATCCGCTTTCTCAATTAGAGTTATTATTGTTGGAATTATCATTTGTCTATTTTAATTGTACATATTTCATCGAATTTTTCATTTATTTTATTTCAATTGGTTGCACAAAAAAATTCATTAATTAAGTGAGATACAACAAGTAGAAAGGAAGAGAACGAGAGTAATTATTCTGCGACGAACAGAACGCGACAAAATGTTATGCGACGAAGTGATCGTGTGACGAAATGATTGCGACGAAGTGAACGCGACGAAGTGTCGAGCGACGAAGTGTCGTGTGACGAAGTGAACGGTCACCGATTTTTTAATTGAACAAGAGAAGAAAAAATAAATTATAGAATTAATAGTATTGTTGTGATAAAGTTTTGGAAAGAAATAAAAAAGTGTCAGAATTAGTTTTGTTCGAGATTAGAATCAATTGAAATACGTGACTAGAGAAATAAAACTGTCAAATGAATGACACTAATTTCAGAAGAAGCTATTGGATTAAAAAACATGTTAATAAATTTCATAAATAAGATAATTGTTTTTAAAAGATTTTCTTTTCGATAAGTCTGTAATTCTTATTTTTCAATCAAATATTGACAAATGATTTATAGAAAAACCGATTCCTATTATTGATTAAATATTTCTATATATATATTTAAACAATTTGAATAGATATGAATATATACCGGATGGCCCAAAAGTAAGGAAGCACAGAAAAAATTGAATATCTCCATTATGGCTTGAGTAAAACTTTATATTCACAAAGACATGCCTAACGAGACCCATTGTTAAGTATTACTATTGAAAAAATTAGCTAGTTTGCTCAAGTCGTAATGAAGATATTCAATTTTTTCTGTGTTTCCTTACTTTTGGGTCACCGGTACGGTAAATTGACATACTTTTGATTCTGTTCGACATTGATTGAAACTAATAACACATTGTGGAATTGTTAAAGTGTTTAAAAGAAAACGTCATACATTTTGTCTGACGCATTTATTGTTTGCCATTAGAAAAAAAAAAATAAGAAAAAATATGCAACTGATTCATTTGTCTCTATTTTTCGATTGCTTTCTACTCAGAGCAACATAGACAACAAAAACAACATAAGTGAATTTGTATTGTTACTCTGTGAAACAAACGCGGTGTAGAATGGTGTCTCGTAATGGTGATTTATTAAGTTTTGTTCTTGGTCTTACATCAGGTATAATTGCTTTAATCAGTTTAATATTAACTTGTACCGGTGTTGCTCTTCCATCATGGTACATTGGAACAACTGCTAATAATACAGATGTTATATCTGAAGCTAATTTATTTTATGCTTGTTTTGCTTCCAATGTTAGTCAAGGATCAATTTCAAAAACATTGACCTGTACTTCTTATAATTCGTATAAATGTTCAACAACATCTTATAAAAATACAGTATTAAATGTAACAGCATATATATCTGGATGTATAAATCCTACAAATAGCTCATCAACATTTTTAAATGAAGTTGGACCAATTTATCAAATATTAATTGATGATTTTTATCGTTTACGTAATGCTGCTATTTTTTCAATAATAACAATACTTTGTATATTGTTTTCAACAATATTTGCATTTCTAACTGCAATCATTCTATTAAATATTTATTTAGTTTTTCTTGCACCAATACTTGCTTGTATAGGTATCATTTTTGGTATATGTTGTTTGGCATTTGCTGGTTCTGTTTTAAATTATACAGGTGTTGCTTTTGCTTTATTTGTCGTTGGAGTTTTACTTGAAGTTATTGTTACAACATTATTATCAATTGTGGCTGGAAGATTAAATCAAATAGAAAAAATAGTTGAAAATAAAGACAATAAACAAATATTTACACATCGTAGTGGTGCGCCTATTTATTTTCAACATGTATATAAACGAAGAATTTAAAATAAAAATATTAACTTTTACTTTTTATTTTTATATGAGTTTTAACAAAGAAAACAATAAGTAAAATTTATTTGATGATTCCTTTTTTTCCTTTTCGACGATACTCAATAACAAATGTTGATAGTTTTTATTATAAATTTACATCAATCAGTTTATTTAGTTCGCATCAAATAGGAAAAGAAAACTGTATAAATGAATTAATGTTTTATTATTAATCCTGAATAGCATACATTGTTGTCCATTGTCGTGCTCTTTCTTCATATTTCTTTTTATCTGTTCTATAGAGTTCGAGAGCATCCTTGTTAATTTCATGTTCTGGATTTGGATCAGATAATAATGAACATAATGATATAAGAAGACTACGAACAGTTAATGCAGGAGACCATTGAGAATGAAGAATATCCAAACAAATTTCACCTTTTATACTTATATTTGGATGATAAATTTGTGTCAAAAATTTGATTTCAGGTGGTTTGAATGGAAAATCTGAAGGAAATTTAAGTGACAAATTAAATCTTCCATTAGTATATGGAGTATCTTTTGGTCCTTCAATCCAACCAGTCCAATGAATCATATCTTTACTTGGATCTTCAGGTTTTGCATAACATAATGGTGGAGGATTTTTTTCTATTTCAACATAATGTTGAGTAAGACGTCGGACGAGAGCCATGAAAATTTATATAAATTAATTTAAAAAAGAAATTGTGTTTCAGAATCAATCGTTCAAATGAATATCTTTACTTAACGATAGACGACTATTGATTTATATATATATATATGTAAAAGAACTGGGAAAAAGCCCTGAAAGCATAGGAAAGAAAAGAAAAAAAAGTATGTGCAACATCTTAGAATAAATTTTCTCGGTTTCGTTTTGATTTTTCCATTTGATATTGTTATTCGAACATGTACTTTATAGATATATTTTAAAGAACTTAAAATTAGTTTAAATAAGCAAGGAGTTTAAATGATTTATTTACATTCCATTTTCTTTTGCGTATTCTTTTTTATCACACGGTAAAAAGAAAATATAATCCGAAAAAAAATGTCAGATTTAGCTTTTATTTGTGTACTTATTTGCAATAGATAAACAAGTCTATGTGGGATGGTGGGTAATGACAAGATTACTCATACTGAATACGTCCCACTGTTAGTAACTAAGAAGGAATGTTGAAATTTTCCTGGGTACAAATCATTAATCATCAAGAGAAAATATATGGAAAAAGTCAATCCAATGTGATTCGAACATGACACAGAAATGAAAACTAATCATAATCATATAAAAACGACAATAATATTTATCGAGAATATTTTATAATGACAAATAAACTATGATTTTATTCATCGAAATAATTCAATTAAAATCTAGAAAAAAATTATTTATTGAATTCTTTTTGTTTTTTATATCCAATATTTATTTATGATTAGATAAAAATCTTGATAGTTGATTATCATAAATAATCACAATTTTATTTTCAGTTTTTATTCAATCAAATGTAGATCAATTATTACTGGGAAATAATAACAAATGAAAAGAAAATAACTTTTTTTCATTATCATAACACAGTTGGAATATTCCTCACTGATAAGATCAAATGAAGGAAAGCAAGCCGAGATAGATAATACTGGGAAAATACCGGAATAGAATAAAAGACACATCAAGGCTAATAAACTGTCTGTCTAAGAGAATTCTATGTATTATTTTAAGTCTTTAATTGAAAAATACTTCTCTAGATGAACAAGAACTTATTCATAAAATTGAAAAGATGTTTATTCTATTCAGATATAAAACAAATTATTTGTTGTTTCTATGATATAAAATCTTTTTTTCCTCGTATTTCGAATTTAAAATAAACGATAATACCAAAATTTCTTCAATATTGTCTTTGTGCTTGTCCAAATAGTTGAGGAATAAAACTACGTATCGGATATGAAATCAATCTATAAACTAAAATAATCGATATATAGAAATGTCATTTGTCCTAGTGAATTACTTAAAAATGATTTGATAATAAAAAAATGAAATATTAGACAAATTCAAACAAATGAACTCTAATATGACTATTAAGAAACCAATAAGACTATTTTTGTTTTATTCTGAATATATCGATCGAATATAATTATTAACATAGAAAAAAAAACAATAATAGAACAATATAAATTATATTGATGATAAAGATATATTTTAACGTAATATATATTGTTGTTACTGAGAATATTTCTAATGTTATTGTAGTGATATCATAATCAACTGATGAAAATTTTTATTATTAACTTAAAAGGATTTTTATCGATCGACTCATTTAGAGCTTTTATTAAGCATAAACTTGCTAAAATTCATTTGAATTCTATCAGTTTTCTAAATAAATGATAACTTTGCAACATCGAAATAATAATGTACATTGTTTATTTTGTTTTCTAATCTCAAACAGTATTTCTAATTGTTATTTTTATTTCAAGAAAAATATTGGTTATGTCTATGTAAAGTATTTATGATGATTGTGATATTTTTCTACTTATTAATATTTGAAAGCACGTATGTTTTGTTATAAATAAGAGAGAAGATTAATATTTATGAAACTAAAAGTTTGTTTCATTTTTATTGAAATTGTAATTGATATGTAAGGTGCACAGTTGACTTAAAAATATATTATAACTTTGAGAAAGGGTTTTTTTTCTAAGTCATGATCGTCGAGACTATGTCATGAATTCTTATCAAATTACCAATATTTTAGATAACCTTTCAACTCGAATAATAAATAATATAAGCATATCGCACTGGAAAACTCTGAGAATATTATAAAATAATTGTTTTACGTGACTAATATAGAAATTTAATATTTCCTTTTGATTCAGTTGTCTATTATTATATCAAACAATGAGTGAACAATTAAATTTTGAATAGGAAAAAAAATATTTTACTTGTTCTAATTATTTTGATTTGCGAGAACGTGTCAATGATGCACTCACAAATTATAGAGAAAGATATTTTTTGGTACATTTATGGTTAAATCAAACTCAAGTGTGTTTGATGTTCAATTTAACGTAGGAGTTATGAATAACTAGTTCTCTTTCTTCATTTATGGTTTATATATTGAACAGTTTTTATTATATATCTTTCTTATTTCCCAAAGTATTCATCTTATTTTCCTTATTCATACAAATCCATCCAGTTCCAGTAAGTCAAAAAAGAATTTATCTCGCACGAATATATATCTATATCTATTGATTCAATACATTTCTTTGCTTTTCAAATATCTTTATATATTAAATAATCATTGAGCTGAATTATTATTTATTCAGCTATTTACTATTCCTTGTAGATTAGTTGCTATTTGTCGAATATCGTTGATTCTGTTCGATTCCTAATTTTCGAAAGTATAATTTGGTGATAAGGTCTTAATGAAAGCTAATGCATGGTTGCTTTCTATTTTTAATCTATTGTTTCTCATAATAATGGTATAGTAAAATGAATTAAAGAATGTTGTCTTATGAAAATTTTCTCTTGTTAGAAATAATCAATATAAATTAAATTGAAGTATTATGTAGAAAGTATAGATGATAGAGCAACAAGGTTTGGATAGGTTCAAGCCTATCCTAGATTCACTCTTCGTACGCTAGACTCAAATACTTTTTTCTCTTTTCATCAAATTAATAGATTTAAGCAGCGTATCACAATTCTTGTACAAATGTTAATATTTTTCGTCATCTAATAATAAGATTTTCTTCGTCCAACAGACTCGATAAACGTTTTTGAGGAGACATTTATTTTTATATAAGTAAATATTCGATCATACATCGGCAATGAATTGAAGTGGCAGATCTATAATTGGTAACGGTAAGCGGTCGATCCGGTAGAGAAAAATCCTTAGAAAGACCGAAACCAAATCGAATCGAATCGAATGTAACTCTCTTTATTCGATTGAATAGCAATGTCTTCAATAAGTCTCAAACATGAGCAATAAAGCTCATTTTAGTCTACGGCTCATGTTCTCTGTATCTTGTACTTTTGCAAATTATGTCGATCGTTTTTGCGTGAGAAATCTATTGAATCAACTATTGCTTTATTTTATTTAAAAAGAAAGTCAGTTTCTATTGATTTATTTTAAGATAGATAATTTAAGAGGAAGTAGATCCGTGTGCATCTGTTTATACATCTCTTTCCACATATATAGTAGGACTTTCTAATTTTATGCAGTATTTAGAGCGGCCGATATTTTACACCCTTTTAGTTGATACATGGATAGAGTTCTATTATTGGTATGGCAAGTGTTTGCTTCGTCGATTACATGATCAGCAGTATAGTTATAAGTAATTGTAGATTTCACGCTTTATTACTCTGCTACATATCCTGATTCGCTAATTGACATGAAAACTGACTTTGAAAAACTTGACTAAAAAACTAAGTAGTGCAGTTTTCTAATTCAAAGGTTATGGGATCGATCCAATCAAGTTTAGGAACTACAAACTACAGTGCAAATCTGCGACTTCAGATAGAGTTCGACTGAAATTAGAAATTACTATACTCCGTTTTTTAATATCTGCATATGCTTCCAAGTAGATGATCCCAAGTCCTAATATGTACTGTAGTTCCGCTTGGAAATTTCCGAATTTCTCTAAATCGATAGATGTAGTATATAGATCCACAAAAACCTACATACAATTTTATACAGCATGTAGATACATTTTATTCATGACAATGAAGGAATTCTCTTTTTTTCAGGTATGAACCGAATCAAATCAAATCGAGATTTTCTTGTTCATTTCAGTCTCTGATTGCTTACCGGTCGGCAGACACAATTTTTTTCTTTAACGACTAGTATAGATTTTTTTTTGAGCTATTGTATGGTTTCTTTTCAAAGAATTGATCATAGAAGTTTTTTTTTCGAAAATCAAACCATTTTCACTGATGTCAATGACTATTTCTATGAGAGAACATGCATTAGAATATATCTATTAAATGAATATTCATCAAAATACGCTTAATATACTTTATCAAGTCA